CCCCCACCCCCACCACCAAGGCTAGGCCTGGGAGGGCTGCTCCTTCTGTCCAGGGCACTGGCCCGCTCTTGCGTCTCAGCAGCCCCACTGATCAGGATTTGGGACAGGTCTCCTGCAGCTGCCGTGAAGGTTACAGTGGCGACGGCATCCGGGTCTGTGCGCTCCTGGACCCCTGTTCCCAGGTCAGGCCCCCAGCCCCACCCCATTTCACAGGGGGAGGGGACTGAGGCTGGAACCAGCAGGGCCCTAAGGGCATCTGAAGGGTACAAGCTCAAGTCTGACTGATCAGTAGGAAACAGGGTTTTAGGAATTTGGACAGGAGCCTTCATGGCCCCTTCCTCAAGGCTGGTTGGGGCAGAGGAATCCTGGGAGCCACTGATGCCTCTCTTTCCTGTCCCTGCTGCAGAGTAATGGAGGCTGCAGCCCCTATGCCGTGTGCAAAAGCATAGGGGATGGCCAGAGGACATGCACCTGTGATACAGCCCACACCGTGGGTGATGGTTTCATCTGCCGTGCCCGGGTCAGCCTGGTAATAATGCCCGAGTCGGACCCCTCACCCAAGGCACCCCTTGGACCTGATATTAGTTAAGATTCCAGATTTGATCCTGATTCTGGCCCTGACCATGACCCTGGGCCTGACCCATGACTCCACCTGGGCCTGACCCAGCTGTGATCCATAAAACTAATCCTGATCCCAGCTCAGACCCCCCTGGCTTTCCTTTCCTCATCTCTGCCTTGGTCAGGCCTTGGGCTGCAGGTGCGGGACAGGCACCAGGCCCTGAATGGGGGCCACCCAAAATCTGAGCTGACCCTCGCCCCCCCAGGAGCTCCTTCGGGACAGGCATGCCTCCTTCTTCAGCCTCCACCTCCTGGTGAGTGACCAGCTGGTCTTCATTTCCTTAGTGCAGCCTGGGCCTCTCTGATCGGCAGGTCCCACCTGCCTCTGGGCCTTGATATTCTCACCTGGTCAGGGGGTTGGCTGGTCTGGTCTCAGAGTCTAAGGCTTCCCCTGGAAGATCCGTGGAAGCCTGGAGTTGCTCCCAGATTGCCCCTCTTCCACTCAAGCTGTTCTCCTCTTCCCCCAGAAATTCAATGAGCTCAAGGGCAACGGGCCTTTCACAATTTTCGTGCCACACGCAGATCTAATGACCAACGTGTCGCAGGTAACGCAGCCCGCAGAAGCAAGGCTGGGGAGGCATGGGCACTCCAGGGTTGGGGGGTGGGCAGAGACAGCAGTCAGGGCCACCGTCTACCCTCACAACTTCCACTCCAGGATGAGCTGGCCCGGATTGGAGCCCATCGCCAGCTGGTGTTCCGCTACCACGTGGTCGGGTGCCGGCAGATGCGGAGCCAGGATCTGCTGGAGGAGGGCTACGTAACCACGCTCTCCGGGCACCCGCTGCGCTTCAGCGAGAGGGAGGTGAGCCTAGGCCCCGCTCCCGAATCCGCAGTCCACAGACCCAGAACTCTGGCTTTCAAGCCCCAGCCCCAGAGCCCTACGCTCTGTCCCCATGTTTAAGACCCTCTCACTTCCCCGGGGCCAGGGCGGGCTTCAGTGAAACAGAGCTGAGTCCTGCCCCGCCCCCGCCCACCACTACGAGCCTGTTCCTGGGCTCAGGACTTCTGAAGCTGGCCCTTTGCCGGTGTCCCGCTTCCGCTCCCACTGCTGTTTTTCCCTGGGAGGGAGGTGAGACTCGTCGTCTTGACCCCGCCTACCTTTTGCCGAAAACTTGCCCAACCCAGGCCCCTTCCCTGCCTCATTCAGTCCCTGCTCGCCCCCACATGCCCTTGCCCCGCCCCCAGGGCAGGCATATATCTCAATGACTTTGCACGAGTGGTAAGCAGTGACCACCAGGCAGTGAACGGTATCCTGCATTTCATCGACCGTGTCCTGCTGCCGCCAGAAGTGCTACACTGGGAGCCTGACGCTGCCCCGATCCTGAGGGTATGCCCTGGGCATGGGCCTGGGAGCTGGAAGGCGGGTGGCTGGGGGGCTTGGGATCCTGTCTCCCCGTGTGACCTCACATCTCACCAGCGCCTTTCCCTAGAGAAATATCACTGCTGCCGCGGATAGCTTTGGTTACAAGATTTTCAGCGGTCTTGTGAAGGTACTGTTCCTGTGTGTGGGCCTGTCAGTGTGTGCATATATACATGAGTGTATGTGGGTGACTGGCAATGTGTGTGCAGCTGTGTGTTTGCTCACCTGTCTGTGCACACCCATCTGAATGCAAACCTGTCCTTTGCATGAGCACATCTGTGTGCACAGGCCATGTCTGTGTGCATGAGCTTCCCAGTGTGAGAACAAGGGTGTGCTATGTGTACCCACACATAGCAGTCAAGGTATGTGCAAGTTTATCCTTGCGTATATGTCCACATATATATCTACCTGGAACAGCTACATTGGAGTGTGACTGGTGGGAAGGCTGCCTGGGTCCCTGTAGCCCCTTCCTGGTCTCTGCCGTCCAGCCCCCTACCTCTGCCCGCTAGTCGCTCACTTCACTGTGATTGCCACACTTCTATTCCTCCCCCGCTCTTCCCCTCCCCCCTGCAGGTGGCTGGTCTCCTGCCCCTGCTTCGAGATGTGTCCCATAGGCCTTTCACAATGCTGTGGCCAACAGACTCTGCCCTGCAAGCCCTGCCACCTGATCGCCAGGCCTGGCTGTACCATGAGGACCACCGTGACAAGCTGGCAGCCATTCTGCGGGGCCATGTGATCCGCAACATCGAGGTGGGTGCACCCCCAGACCTTGGTCCCCACTGATTGCCACCTAGCCTTCCTACCCAGCTCCAACCATGGCTCCATCTGCTCAGGCCTTGGCATCTGACCTGCCCAATCTGGGCCCACTCCGCACCATGCATGGAACCCCTATCTCCTTCTCCTGCAGCCGTGCCCGGCCGGTGAGTCTGGGGAGGAGGCTTGAATGAGGGAGGGAGGGAGGGGCCCTGGCTGCAGTACAGCTGTGACCCCCATGTACCCCACATTCTCCCGCCTGCAGGGTGAGCTCATGGTGGGTGAGGATGACGCCCGCATTGTGCAGCGGCACCTGCCCTTTGAGGGTGGCCTGGCCTACGGCATCGACCAGCTGCTGGAACCACCTGGCCTTGGTGCCCGCTGTGACCGCTTTGAGACTCGGCCAGTGTGGCTGGTGAGGGAGGCCTGAGGTGGACGGGTAGGGGCCCAAGCCCACCTGTACTGTCCATCTACCTGACCTTTCTGTATTGGCCTCCATTCCTTCCAGACGATTTGCAGCATCTGTGGGCGGGAACCACCCTGTCCTGAGGGCTCACACGAGCAGGTAAGGAGCTGGGAGCTGGATGGGGGTTTGGGCCAGGGCCAGCCTGAGCTGTTTGCAGCCTGACTCTTCTTGGCCCAGGGCAGCCCCCAGACCTGCTGGCGCTACTACTCAAAGATCTGGACGTCCCCTCTACGCCCCTTGGCACTGCGCAGCATTTGGGGCCAGCCTCATCAAGGTCTGGGCAGGGGCTGCCACCGCAACTGTGTCACCACCACCTGGAAACCCAGCTGCTGCCCTGGTCACTATGGCAGTGAGTGCCGAGGTGAGTGTCCTGAGGTTGCAGACGCTGCTGACTGGCTCCTCTGGCCATTGTTTCTGAGGGGTGTGGGGGTGATCAGGGGCTGGGTGGGTCTGGGGGGTGGGTGAGTGGATTTTACCAGGAGAGAATGCTCTAAGAGGCGGGGTGGGGGTGTGGATGGTGTAGGACCTGGTGGGGTGTGCTGGGGGAGAGGGGGCCTGGAGGATTCTCAGCAAGCAGTGTGGGGACTTAGGTGTGTTGCTGCTTTTCGAAGAGCCTGGGCAGCCAGGGGATGAAGGCCAGATGGTGTGGCTGGGCTGGGGATGCCTGTGTGTGGGTCCTAAAGAGAGCCCCTGGCTCCTCCTCCCTTCTCCCACCCCATCCTCTAGCTTGCCCTGGGGGTGCCAGCCACCCTTGTAGTGACCATGGTCTGTGCATGGACGGCATGAGCGGCAGCGGGCAGTGTAGGTGCCATTCGGGGTTTGCTGGAACAGCATGTGAACTCTGTGCCCCGGGGGCCTTCGGGCCTCTTTGCCAAGGTAGGCTGTTCTGTCTTGCACTGCCCTGCCTTCTGATTCCCTTGGCTAATGTGCCAACTCCACCCTCCTGCCTGTCCCTTTCCCCAGCCTGCCGCTGCACCTCTCATGGCCACTGTGATGAGGGCCTCGGGGGCTCCGGCTCCTGCTTCTGTGATGAGGGCTGGACTGGGCCACGCTGCGAGGTGCAGCTGGGTGAGTGGCCCTTGTGCTGTGCCCACCCTGCACATACCAGTGCATTCCCCAACTGCACACTCAGGTGGAGGCACTGAGGATGAGGCGGGGGAGGGGGCTGGGGACATTCAGGAGGGCAGCTACTAACCTGGATATGTGGGGTGGGCCCTTGGGGACAGAGCTGCAGCCTGTGTGTGCCCCACCCTGTGCACCCCAGGCAGTGTGCCGTGCGGGCAACAGTTGCGAGTGCAGCCTGGGCTATGAAGGGGATGGCCGCATGTGCACAGGTGAGCAGGTGGGTGGGGGTGTGAGGTGGGAGGCCACACCCCTCTTCTGCCACCTGGTCCACCCACTCTCTCCCTGCCCCCAGTGGTGGACCTGTGCCAGGATGGGCATGGTGGCTGCAGTGAGCATGCCAACTGCAGCCAGGTAGGCACAGTGGTCAACTGCACCTGCCTCCCAGACTACGAGGGTGATGGCTGGAGCTGCCGGGCCCGCAACCCCTGTGAAGATGGCCACCGTGGGGGCTGCAGTGAGCATGCTGACTGCCTAAGCACTGGCCCGGTGAGCAGGGGGGGTGCCAAGCAGCAGAGTGGAGAGGCCCCGCAGAGTGGCTCCCCCAGTCCCTGAAGGGCACCCACCTGATCTCCCACCCCAGAACACACGACGCTGTGTGTGCCATGCTGGCTATGTGGGTGATGGACTGCAGTGTCTGGAGGAGCCTGAGCCACCTGAGGACCGCTGCCTGGGCCAGTCCCCACCCTGTCACGTGGATGCTGTGTGCACGGACCTGCACTTCCAAGGTACGCTTCCCTGCGCGCTCCTAGTGCCCTTACCTTACCTCCGAGTCTGGCTGACCACGCATCCCTCCCTTCTGCAGAAAAACGGGCTGGTGTCTTCCACCTTCAGGCCACCAGTGGCCCTTACAGTCTGAACTTCTCAGAGGCTGAGGTGGCATGTGGGGCCCAGGGAGCTGTCCTTGCTTCTCTCCCTCAGCTCTCTGCTGCCCAGCAGGTATGTGGGGCCCAGGAGAGCGGAGCCAAGCCTGTGGGGGCCCCTTGAGGTAGGCCTGGGATCTCAGCATCCTCTCCTGCCCCTACAGCTGGGCTTCCACCTGTGTCTTGTGGGCTGGCTGGCCAATGGCTCGGCTGCCCACCCCGTTGTCTTCCCTTCGGCGGACTGTGGTGATGGTCAGGTGGGCGTCGTCAGCCTGGGCACCCGGAAGAATCTGTCGGAGTGCTGGGATGCCTACTGTTACCGTGTGCAAGGTGCAGTCACCCCCACCCACCATGCTTCACTCTCCAGCTCTGCCCCATCCCACCAACCCACTAACCTACTGAACTCCCTTTCCCACAGACGTGGCCTGCCGGTGCCGCGATGGCTTTGTGGGTGACGGGACCAGCACATGCAACGGGAAGCTGCTTGATGTACTGGCTGCCACTGCCAACTTCTCCACCTTCTATGGGGTGCGCAGGGGCCCAGGGGGTGTGGGGTAGCTGGGATCCTTGGGGAGGGATCCTGTTCACAGCCCTGTCTCCCCACCCTCCCAGATGCTGCTGGGCTATGCCAATGCCACTCCTCGAGGTCTTGACTTCCTAGATTTCCTGGACGATGAACTCACCTACAAGACACTTTTTGTCCCTGTCAATGAAGGCTTTGTGGATAACATGGTAACTAGTAGGCGGTATAGACAGAGCAGGGCCCGACCCTGCTCCCTCTGGCTGGCCCGGGCCAACAGGGTGAGTGGCCTTCACTTTGCCCACAGACACTGAGTGGCCCAGACCTGGAACTGCACGCCTCCAATGCCACCCTCCTGAGCTCCAACATCAGCAAGGGTACCTTGCTCCCCTCCCACTCGGGCCTCAGCCTTGTCATTAGTGATGTGGGCCCTGACAACAGTTCTTGGGCCCCTGTGGTAAGTCTAGCCACTGCCCCTCCCCTGCTGGCCCTGGCCCTCCCTCACCCACTGGGCCTGACTCTGGTCTCCCCACAGGCCCCAGGAGCAGTTGTGGTTAGTGGCGTCATCGTGTGGGACATCATCGCATTCAATGGTATCATCCATGCTCTGGCCAGCCCCCTCCTGGCACCCCCACAGCCTGTGAGTTGGTGGGGGTCAGTTAGAGCTGCACAGGGAAAGGGGACAACTCTGGCCAGGTCCTTGATATTCTCCTGTTTGCAGCGGGCAGTGGTAGCACCTGAGGGCCCACCCGTGGCAGCAGGTGTGGGAGCTGTGGTAGCTGCTGCAACACTGCTGGGCCTGGTGGCTGGAGCCGTATACTTCCGTGCACGAGGCAGGGCCACAGGCTTTGGCTTCTCTGCCTTCCAGGTAGGGTTGGGTTGGGGATAGGTGGGGGTTCGGATCCATCTAGCTTGCTCAAGGCCCCTCACCACTCACCTCTCTTCTCAGGCAGAAGATGACGCTGATGACGACTTCTCCCCATGGCAGGAAGGGGCCAGCCCAACCCTGGTCTCTGTCCCCAACCCGGTCTTTGGCAGCCATGATGCCTTTTGTGAGCCCTTTGATGTGAGTGTGGGGCAGGGGGATGTGGAAGTGCGCCCAGGGTCTGGTTGCTGGCCCAGCTACACGTCCTCCCCGCAGGACTCAGTCCTGGAGGACGACTTTCCTGACACCCAGAGGATCCTCGCGGTTAAGTGACGCGGCTGGGGCTGAAGCAGAGGCACGAGCAGAAGGCCACCACTTTATTGCCTGTGTGGACAATGCCCAGAGTGGGTGGGGCAGGAAAATAAAGTTGCCTTCAGCGGATGTGGGCCATGTCGCTGAGGAAGGGTGTCTTCATGCAGCCGGTGCAGAGCTGGTCCATCCACAGCGGTGCCTCGTGCTGCAGGGGTGTGCGGCGCGGGTAGAAGGTGAAGTCCACGCGGTAGTTGAGCAGGCAACTGAGGGAGGCCATGTAGAGGTCGGAGAAGCGCACAAGGCGCCGAGAGAAGTAGGTGGGGTTGTGGAAGGTGCGGAAGATGCTCCCAAACTGAGCGTTGAACAGGGCCTTGGTAATGCACCTGGGGAGGGAGACACGGGGCACTGGAAGGGCCGCCCAGGATGAGGCCGGGCCGGGACCCCTGCCCTGGCCCTAGCCCGCTCACCTTAGCTCCTGCCGCTCCTTCATCCAGGCAGCCAGCACCTGTCGTGACTCTGCATCCTGGTAAGTCTGGGGGAGACAAGGTGTGTGCTGGGTGTGTGCCCCAGGAGGCAGCCACAGTCCCTCCCCTGGGACGCCCCCCGCCCCCCGCGCCACACACACCTGCATTCTCTCCAGTAGCCCTGTGAGCGCCTGCTGCCATGTCAGTGAGTGCATGTACTGCTCCGTGTTGATGATGTGGATTTCGCGTTCCAGCTCAGGGATGATGGCGCCTGTGCGCCAGCCATGCCGCAGCATGAGGTCCTGGGGGGCAGTGGGAGGACAGGGCTCAGCACCCGCTTTAGGGCTGAGTCTCCCTCCAGGTGGCCCAGTCTCATCCCTCTCACCGCCAGGTCACTGTAGAGGTGGTCTCCGAAGTACAGCACACGGGGGCCACGCCATTCTGTCAGACGCAGGAAGTCAAACAGGTTTCCCTGGGGAGAGATGGGGGACACTACTGAGCCCAGTGTACTGAAGGGGCTCCCATGGGGCTGCCAGAAACATGCCTGGTTCTCTACCCGTCTTTTCAAATCCCCAGAGGTAGTGAGGCCCCTCCAGCCGGATGCTGGGCTGCCCTTTCCCATGGCCTTGCTGTCCCCTCTGGGCTCTGGCCCTCGCCACCTCCTCCTCATGCTCAGCAGGGGTCTGCCTGCTGCAGGAAAGTCTCCTACAGGCCTGGCATGGTGCCCGGTGCCTCTAGGGTCTCCCTGCCCCGTGGCCTCACACCCACCCCAGGCTACGGACTGAGTCTGCTTTTTGTGGGAAACAAACTGCAGCAGTGACCCCCACGGCCCTGGCGTCCTCCTGGGTTCCCCGGCCTGAGCCCAGAGGGACCCAGCAGACCAATGGCAGACCTCACTATGAGGCCGTCCTGCTCCAAAGGCGGACAAAAGATGAAAAAACTCAGCCAGGCTCAAACAACAGAGGAACTCACAGGGGAGCAAAAATGGTGGTGGTGGTGGGGGGGTGCAGAGTAGGGAGTGCAGCAGTCGTGGGGCAGAGCCCACAAACCAGGTAAGAATGGAAACCCAGCAAAAAAGAGTTACTAGAGCAGTCTGTGCATGCAGGGGGAGCGGGGCGTGCGCACAGGCGGCTGTGGAAGACCTCATTTTTGAAATATTCTCAAGTGGAGAGGCTGAGGAGCAGGGGATCCGCTGAACAGGGAGGTATGATGGGAGGAGTGGATGTGCCCGGAGTAAACCACCAGAAAGAACCCTGAGGCACAACAGGAAACAGAGGGAGGGAGGGAGGGAGGGAGCAAAGAAAGACAAGACCCAAGTAGGATCATGATATCTCTCCCTCTCCCTCCTCCCCCCCCTCCCTTTCCTTCTCTCAGAACATCAGGCATAAGGAAAAACCCAAAAGCTGCCAAAGAAAAAGTCACATGTTCCCCACAAAGGTGCATGACCCTCCTCAGGCTCAGACAACATGCCAGGACAAAGGAGACAGGCATCCTTAGCGCTGAGGGGAAGAGCCTGTGCCGCAGAGGGCCGGGGAACAGCCGGGCGGGCAGCTGAGCAGTGGGCAGGGGTGGGGGCACTGCATGCAGGCCTCGCCTCTGCGTGAGGACCTGGAGGCTGCTCCCTGTGGATGTGCCCCTGGCCCAGCTGCTGGACCCCCGGCCTCCAAGAAGCCCGGCCTCCAAGAAGCCCGGCTCACCAGCTCAGCCAGGATTTCCGCATTCCATCCAGGGCCAAATGCCTTAATCACCTCCTGTTCAGAGCCAGCCCCTGCCCCACACCCGCATCAGGCCCCTTCTCATCTTCCAAGACAGTCAGGAAAGCGGCTCTCCCTCGAGGCCCACGAGCCACCCCCACCGGCCCAGCTCAGGGGCCTTAATCGGGCTTGTCTGGCTGTAACCGAGTGCTCAGCCCACAAGTGATAACAGTGTCATTTATTGGGCACTTAGTGAAAGCCCAGCCATTCTTAGGCTTTGACACTATAACTCAAGTTGAGTATTTCACCTCTTTTATAGATGAGGAAAGTAAGGCACAGAGGGGCCGAGTAATTCGGCCAGACTCCCTCAGCCGTTGACGGCCACTGAGGACTGCATCTGAATTCAAACACAGGCAACCTGACCCAGAGGCCAAGCCCTTGACACTGCCCAGGCCTGTCCCCTGAAAGTCATTCCCTGGTGTCCTAGACACAGACCCACAGCACGAGGAAACAGACTCACGGTAGATGTGTGGTGGCTGGTCAGGGTCCAGAAGGCCGTGCCACTGCCCCCTCCACCTGGGGCTTTGGTTAGCCCTGTAGCCCCTGCCAGATGCTACTCCCACCCAGATGGCCCTCACCTGCCGATAGATCTTGCCCTTTTCCAGGCGGGTGATGCGGTCCCACTGGAGCGAGCCCTTCTCATCGAGTTTTCTGAAAGGCCTAGGGAGGGTGGGGGCAGGTAAAAGGCTCGATTTCCAGTCTGTGGCAGGACCATCCCACTGTGCAGAAGCCCATCTGCTCATGTGGGCCACACGTCAGCAAGGGGGTGTCCCCACCCCAACCATACAGGGCGGCGAGCAAAGACCAGTCCCCACTCCCGGGCCCCACTGCCTCCGCCAGGCCCATACTTGCGCGGGTCAGTGAAGAAGCTGGGTTTGTCCGCCTGGACGATGACCACGTCGAAGAGCTGGCGCCAGTCGGGACCCACCATGTGGCGCATTCCCTTGTCCCTGGGCACAGATGGGGCACAGGTAGGGCAGGTGGCATGTGGTCTGAGGGAGGCTTGAGCCTGCCTGCCGCTACCTGGTCCCCACCCTGCCCCCTCCTCCCACCGCAGGGTGGGGCGGGGCTCACACAAAACTGAAGGGACTGTTGGTGATGAGGAACAGCTGTTTCCCATGGTCCACCAGGCGGCTCAGGACAGCGAACGTCTCATCCCCTCTCAGGATGTACTTCTCTAACAGGGGGAGATGGGATGTGAGGGCCAATGCACCGCCTGCCCAGGCATGCGGTAGCAGCTGCTGTCCACCCTTACCCATGTCCCGCTCGATCCACTGGTACATGAGGCCCTTCACGTGCACGTCTCGAATGGCATCCTAGGGGTAGTGGAGGGACAGTGAGGTGCAGTGGGGACCAGGAGGGCCTGCTCTGCTGTGGCTGGACTTCATCTTCCCTGTCACCCCAAGCAGGCCCATTATTCTCACCGTCACATCCTTATAGAGGTGCTCTTGGTCAAACTCCAGGCCATGGCCCAAGAAGTGATCCACCACACAGGAGAGCAGTGCCATCTCTGGCAGTGAGAAGATGTCCATGAACTGCTTGATGGAGGGACCCTGGGGATGGAGGGAGGGCACCACCTCAGCAACCCCTCCAGCCCCACAACCCCCAGCTCTGGAGACCAAGGGCTCCAAGTCTGCCCTGGGACACTGGTAGAGGGTGCAGGCTATGGGTCAGGGCTGGCCCACCAGGGTGTGGGCATGGCGTCCCAGGGAGCCAGCACACACAGCGAGATCACTGAGTGGGCTGCCCTGGGCAGCAGCAGATGAGCGAGTACCTTGCCATAGAAGCCACTCATCTGGTACAGTGGGATGTGCTGGGTGCCCCCATATAGGTCGATCACCTCCTCATCTGGCACAGGCTGCAGGCCCCTGGGTGGGCACACAAACATCATCAATCCAAAGTGGTCCTGAGCCTAGGCTGAAGCGTAGGGTCAGGGAGAGTGGGGTGAGGCAGGATAGTGTCAGCACTGACCTGTAGGCCGTCCCCAGTTGCACGTAATGGAAGGCATCAATCTTCATCAGAAGGCTCTGGGGGCACCAGGGAAAAGGGACGGGCAGTGAGGAAGGAGTATGCCATTGGCCATGAGCCAGCCTCTTTCAGCCCCCACGCTGAAGCCCCAGTTGGATGGTATCAAGGGATCATGTACATGCTCCCTGTACAGGAAGCTATGGCTTTGACGCCAAGAGGGAATACAGATAAGGAGACACCCCCACAGGGGATTGGGAGGGGGCTAAGGAAGTGGCCTTGATACACATCCAGTCAGGAGGGGCCAGGGAGTCAGTGGTCTACGACTCACCTTCTGAATGTCGTAGTGGAGGCCACGGATGGCAAAGCTGGGGTTGTAGTCATACTTCCGAATACCCTCTGGGTACTGTCAGGGGAAGGAGGGCCAGGCCTGAGCCAGTGGCACTGCCAGATCTGCTGGCTGGGCAGTCGCCTCAGAAGATCAATTCAGCCATCACCCCAGCCTGGCTAGCCTCACCTTGTAGTGCTCAATCAGGATGTCACGGGCAGCACTGAAGATCTCTGGATGCAGTGAGTCTGCGTACTGGGCCAGCGTGTAGTCGTAGTCAAAGCCATAGACCTCAACATCATGCAGGCTGATCTCGTTGTTGGCATAGATGGCTGCTGGGTTCAGGAGACTGCAGACCTCGGGGGGAAGGAGATCTAGAGGAAGGAGATGCAAATACGAGGAAGACGATGATCACAGCAGCAGCAAATTGTTACTGAGCACTTCTCAGGTGCCCAGCCCCGGGAGGCTCATGAGCACCCCAGGATAGGTCCTTAGCCCAATGCTGCAGGTGGTCAAACTCAGAGGCTCAGCGAGGGTCACATGGTTGAGGTAAGGCAGAGCTAGCAATGGGCCAAGCTCATGGCTGGAGCTTGTGGGTCCTGGGTTACACCATCACCTGCAGCTCACCAGGTACACCAAGCAAGCCTGTGCCTCCTCCAGGCACTCATAAGCCCCACTGCCCACCCCTTCCACCCTGCCTGAAGCTGTGGTTGGGACTTAGGAACACTATTAGGATGGGGGATCTTGGGTGGCCCCTCTGTTGCTCAGACTCCCAGCTCTGAGCACCTGCCACAGCTGTTGGGGGCAAGGCCTCTCTAATCGAATTTCAGCTGGCTGTCAGCCCACATAATGACATTTGCTGCCTCTAGCCAGGGAACATTGCTAATTACAACAGGCGGGACATGTGATGTCGGGTTCTGGGCCACTAACCAGCCTGCTCCCCTCTGAAGATGTGGTCATAGCCACCCCAAACCCCTGGTTGCTCAAGGGGGGCTGCGTGGGACCCTGTAGAGTGGGCTCTGGGGTCCTAGGCTCATCTGCCTTGGTTCCCCGTCTGTACAGCTGGGGAGGTGAATGGGGAAAGGGTATGGGCTTTGAAGTCAGAGAGACCAGACCCTCCTTCTTATGGCGGTGACCTCAGGAAAGTCATCTCACTTTTGGGTCTCGGCTTCCTTATCTCTAAAGGCAAAATGAAAATTGTACTAACCTACAGAATTACTAAGAGGGTCCTATGGAATGTGCTCGGCGCTGCATTCCCACTGGGGCGAGTGCAGGATTAAGAGTGCTGCGCCTCTGGAGCCCATCACTTCCGTCCTGTATTTCCCTGCACCACTCAGGGAGCAGGGGTTCCAGGGAGAGGGGAGCAGGCAGGACTAGGCGCACAGGGCACTGCCTTGCAGAGGCTCCTTTTCTGAGACCTCTAGCCTGTGGCTGAAGCCCAAGCCTCTAGGGAATTCCTGTCTCAGCCACAAGAGTCATGATCTTGACGCAGAAGCCCCTGACCATGAAGCACGCCTGGCAGTTGTCTGTGTTCAGAGGCAGACACTCTCTGATGAGCTCCCAGGCTGCGAGCATTGGCCTTGGAGGTCCCTTTGGAACACAGGCTCCGCTCTTAGCCCCTTCTCCTTTGGAGCCAACTGCAGGGTGTGGGTGGGGGAACAGGTGTGGCTGGTTCCTCTGGCAGCCCCAGGCCAACCTAGGCCCGGCACAGCGCAGTTTCTTCCAAGATGACTCGTGGGTGCAGACAAAACACTCCTTACTTGAACGTATGTGAGAAACAGCTGATTTCAGCTTTCTAGGGAGCTGCTTCTGAGATGCCCCTCATCTGGTGTCAGCAGGACCCTGGGCCTTCCCCTCCCCCTGGTCCTGAGTTGCTGGGCACCAACTGTGACTCTGGGAACAATATCCAGTAGCCCCCAGGAGGGGAGGCGTCTGCTTGGCGTAGAGTTCTGGCTTTCACCTCTGCCCTTGAAGATGTTCCCAAGGATGGACAATCCTCCCAGGAACAAAGCAGGACGGGGAAGCAGCCCACAGGGCCTGGCCTCCTGACCCGCTTTCTGGACTGAAAAAACCAATAGCTCTGGGGCACAAGGTCCCACTCTCTTCCACAGGGTTGTTTTGGTGACCAGGGCCAGGTGAGGAGGATACGCCCTTCACCTGAGCTTGCTCCCAAGTTCACTGGTCTCACTGCCTAGCCCTCCACCCTCCTTTTTCCTCAGCCCCCAACTCCTACACCTGCCCAAGGCTCCAGGATCCAAGGCCGACCCCTCCCCACAGCGGCCATGAGACTGACTTGTGAATGCCACCATGCCAGCTGCTGCTGGGTGCGCTTGTTGGTGCCTTAGAGGCTCCTCTTGTTCAATCGTCACTCCAGTCTTGTGATGTGGTCACATTTAATCGTCTTTTGTCCAGAGGAAGAAACTGGCTCAGGGAGATAAAGTCACTTGTTCAGCAGTAGGCAGTGGAGTTGAGATTTGAATTTGGTTACTCCTACCTGCCTCAATCACTCTGCCCCTCAGCCTAGCATGCCAATGTCACCATGCTGAGGTTGGGAGTGGGGTGGGAGGGCCTGGTTCCCTGGCAAAGTTTTGCCTAAAGGCATTAGCCCAAGGCACCCCTCAGTGCCTAGAATTTGCCCCTAGAAAACGTCAGAAGGGAGAGTTAGGCTCCACGGGTGCAAGGCTGGCTCATCCTAGCACTCACCCTGGCATCTTGCCCCTTTCACATCAAGAGGAGCTTTGGGATCTCTGTGAAGATCTGAAGATCCCTGTGGGCCCTGAGAGACAAAGCCCAATACACCTATGTCCCTCCCCTGATGCCTATGAGGTAGGCTTCTCGAGCCGCTCTAGAGGATCTTCCCGAGGTCTAGAGCAACGACATCGCCTTCAACAACATCCCAGGCCTGCCCCCTCCACTGAGGGTAGGGGGTGGTGTCCCAATAGAGGCCCATGGGCTTCAAAACCATCATTCCTCAGGGGTCTTAACCATTTTGCCTTCAGCTTCTCAAGAGGTGAGTCCAGTCCACCCACCACTCCTAGGCCACCACACAACGGGTGGCAGCCCCCGTTAGGTCAGCTGGAATCTTCTAGACAGGGCCACTTTGTCTTATCAGACAATGAAAGCCCTGTCACGCATGGGGGTTCTTCCAGAAGCTCCCTTGCCCCTTCTTGGCCTGGTTCTTTCCAAGTCATCACAACCCTGTGACAGAGACTCCAGGATTGTGTTTTACATCCTAAGTCACCAAGGGTCTGAGAGAGTGAGGCTTACTGGGCGCCACCCAGCTGGTCAGAGATAGGACCCAGACCCAAGCCACATCTGTCTGCTGCAGAGGCAGGGCCCCAGGGAACTCCTGAACAAATATCAGCGCGCTCAGTTCTCTGGCCTCACCAGAGAGCCCCAGCCTTACCCATCTGAGAGAAGGCTTCAGGCTGCCTCAGCCCATTTTGCAGAGAGAGAAAAGAGGCTACAAGAGGTTCAGTGCCCTGGCCAAGGGTGCAGCAACCGTTCTGGATTCCAAGGGATTGGGGCTACTTGGTCTCGTTTCTCCAGCCAACGCCTTCCTCTCCTGGGCTGAGTGCTTCGGGCCTTCAGGGCGTAATCTAGAGGTGTCTGAAAGTCTGTCTAGTCGGCGTCTGCTGAGGTCGGCGAGTCCCTAGGAGTCCGTTCCGGACAGCACCGCCGGCTGGCTTTGTCCCTGGTAATCCTACCCTAACTAAGGGCCCCTAGGGGAACAAGGAGTTTGGGAGTGTTTCAGACGCGGCCTCCTGGCGGGTGAACGCCGAGTAAAGACCGCGGGGGACCTGAAATCCAGCGGCGGATTCAGGAACCCCCAGCTCCTGCAAACTGAGCCAGGGAACAAACCTCCTATTCGCCCGCCGCCGGGCGTCGGGGCGTCCCCAGAGATTCCCGAGACTACCCGCTGGAGCCTCTTCCGAAAAGCAGCCCGGCTTTCCGAGCCCCAGCGAGCCTCAAAGGGGCGCTTCCCTTGAAGAGCGGCGCCCGGACGGCACGGGGGCGGTGCCCTGGCGCTCGGTCAGTCTGTCCGCCGCCCGGGCACGCGTCTATAGCCCCCTCCACCAGCGCCCGTCCCACTCGGGCTCACCCACCGTGCACCAATCTCCGCATATCCTGGTAACGAGCCCACAGGTGAGCGCTGAGCTCCGCGCCGCCGGCGGGCAATGGGGCGGACGCAGAGCGCGGAGCGCCCGGGCAGTGGGCGCCAGGACCGGGGGGGCCGCAGCCAGGGCAGGAGGGCGAGGACGAGGCGGCTCGCGGCCCGCCGTGGCCTCGGCACGGCAGCCAGCGCCGAGCGGCCGCCCGCAGCCCCGCACCCACCATGCCCGCTGCTCACCGCCCGTGCAGCCCTCGGCCCGTCCGCCGCCCTCCGACTGCGCGCCCGCCACCGTGGCCGCGTGCTCCTCCGTGCGGCCGGCCAATGGGCGCGGCGCGCGGAGCCCGGCCGTCCAATGGGTGCGTCTCTCGGCCCGGGGGCGGGAGGTCCCGGACGGGGCGGGGCGGGCTCCCCGGCCCCCCGGCCCCCTCCCCCGAGTTTCGGGCGCAGCGGGGGAGGGCTCTGCACCCCCCATCTGTCGCCACGGCGCTGATGGCGGCTCCTTCTATCCCTTTCCTGAGAGGTCGGAGGGCCTAAGAACCGCCGTCCCTGCGAGGCTTCGGAAGGCCGGGGCTCGGAGAGGAGAGGGCCGAAGCGCGGAGGGTCCACCCCGGCTCGCCGTCCTCCCTCCCCTTCCTTCACCCCTTGGCCTCCAGACCTCAGCTCCTCTATCCCTTCCCCCAGTCCCGCTGCGGGGGTCCTATTCTCCGCCTCCCGCCCTAGACTAGCTCTTCCCGCAGACCAGAGGGTGGTCCGGTTCGCTCCTTTAGTGAATCAAGAGCCCTTGTGCGCTTCCCTGTGCCAGCCCCACGCTAGGTGAGACCCGCAGCGCAAACGATGTCGGCTGAAGCAGCCCCTTCTCTCTCCCGCCCTGAACCTCACCCAGGTGCCCCTCCCCCCCCCTTTTTTTTTTAACTCGGAGCAGGACAACTAGGCCTTCTGCTCTAGGGCGGGTGGGCCAGGGGTCACTGCGCCTGCCTGGTTTTGACCTCAACAAATGGTTACACCGACCTGCCCCGCTCCTGGCTTCCCCGCACAGGCTCTCTTGAGATGCCTTGGTTTGTTCTAGCAACGTCGCTAGACTTTCCAACGAAATTCCTTTTCCCCAGCGTGGAACCACTCTCCACCCTCGTTTCTTCTACTCATATCCATTTTCTGAGACTGCATGTGTACCAGATGGTGCACTGGGCTCAGAGGAGGCTGACCAAGCCCGGGTGGGCCTGGTGGTGCGGAGATGGACACTGTTTTCTAAGGGTGTGTGCATATTCGAATTCCCACTGTACCTTGGCTTAAGATCTACAGTGTGCCAGACCCTGGGCCAGGTGCTGCTGCAGGATGGAGGCCCAAGGGTGGGCCCGTAGGTGAGTGGTTGTGCCCTCCTGAGGGCCCCAGTGAGCTAGGGGTTGCTGGGGAACTGGCAACACGTAAACCTTGTCAGGACGTCTGGGTGGGAGATGGGTGCTCTGTGGTATGTACCCCATCCCCCCCTCACCCCCACCCCCCACCCCCAAGAGAAATAGGAGTGAGCGCTAAGCGGGTGTGTGAAAAGTGGTTCGGTAGGGTTGGCCCCAGAAGGCAGGTTATCCAGGCAGCAGCTGGGGCCTGTCAGCTCAGGTGCAGACTCTACGGCCCTTTCCAGGAGCCCTGCTTGCGCACTCTTTTCCAGCCTGTTTTTGTAGATTTTGTGTCCACATCACCAAACTCTCTTATTGGTTCTTAGTTTTCATTTGATTTTCTTGGATTGTCTAATAGTTGCCTCCCTTTGCAAAGATACTCCCCAGTTTTTTTAGCTTTAGATAATGAGGTGACAGCCCTTTACAGACATCTTCAGCAAGCACAGCAACTCAATGAGAATGAAGGCTCCGGAGTCAGAGCTCTGCTTCTACATGGCTTAATCTCTTAACTTCCCAATTCTCCATCTATAAAAGGTGATGAAAATAGAGGTAAGGTTCAGTAGGCTCCAGAATACATGTAAAGAGCTAGGGCTCAATAAATCATCATCATCATATTATAGCTAATGTTAATTGATCCGTAGGTATGCCCCAGGCATTGTTAAATGCTTTATTTATATTCTCTCTAAACCCTAACAGCATCAGGGGAAGGTCCCCGTTTTGTGTAGGGAATTGAGGCACAAACCAACTAAGAGAATGTATGTGGAGCAGGGATGTGGTTTGACAAAACTCATGTTCTTGAACCAACTTGCTCTTCAGTGATTATTGTGAATAACGAGATAATGCATAAAAAGTAGCTACAAGTCCCTGTATAAAGTTAAGTGCTCCGTACAGGATGGCTTTTATTAATTTTAGGGTTGTTACAGATGCTTACCTAGACTTTTGTTGTGATAAAGTTCAGCTTTTTTCTTTTTTTAAAGTTCAGCTTTCAACAATGCATATCAAATTCTGTTATTTTTAGAAGTCCAGTCACCAATCACGACCCCGAAATAAATGCGAGGCGTTGCGTAATTGCATTTTAGATTATGGTGCAGTACATCAGAGAGGGTCATCACTTCTATAAGGAATATAAGAAAAGATGGCGGTGGCAGAGTAGGGGGTACTGCCGCCAACTCCTAACATTAGCTGCACAGGGGAGGCGGGAGGCGGGGGGAATCTTGCCCGGCCGACGCCACGTGGGAAGCCCCGCCCCCTCCACGGTCCCGCCTCCAGAGCCCAAGCGCCTGCGCTAGCTCCCTCAGGCCGAGCTCGGCCTCAAGGAGCACGCGCATTCTGCTGCACTCTATTGGCGAGTCCGCGCGCTCCACTGCGTTCTGATTGGTTGCTCCTGAAATTGCTCGGCAACTAGACCTCCGGACCTGGCAAGGACAGGCGGGACAGGTTCTGCCGCTCTGCGCTTCGGCCCAGAGGCTGGTGCAGCTTTCGTCGCTCCTGGTCCTGCCGTACCCGTCTTCATGACCTCGGTGGAGCATGTTTTCCAAGGCCCAGGTGAGGCGGGTTCTGCAGCGAGTGCCCGGGAAGCAGCGACTCGGCGTCTACCGGTTTCTGCCCTTCTTTTTTGTTCTGGGAGGAACGATGGAGTGGATCATGATTAAAGTACGCGTGGGCCAGGAGACCTTCTGTAAGTGGGGATGCAGCAGCCTTCGTTTCATTTCAGAAATGCAAGAGGCGGCTTGGGACCTATTTTCCTGGGGAATATTTCTAGGTTGCAGAGCGCGCGTTCCACCCAGAACGCTGAACTGCTTTTACCCTGGCCAGAAGGGCAAGTGCCGTTCCGTTCACTGGGCCATCGAAACCCACCTGGGCTCTCCTGTAAGCGGGGCAACAAAGGCACTTTGGCGTCCAACTGTGAGCCTGCACGTCGAGGGGAGGGCACGTGACTCCATTCTGGACACTCACCTCTCAAGCCTGCCGGTGTCATTGATTGGTCCTGAGGAACAGACTTGCTCACAGCCCATAGAAGTGGTGGGACCCTGAGGATTCATGGAAACTCCTGTTAACTGGCCAGTCCTCTCTCTGGACTCATCGGTCCAAACCCTGGAGGGAGTTGGTCTGCCCGGCTTAGCTAATTACCACTGTCTTTACAGACATTGTCTTTGGGACCAGGGCCCAGCATTGTGAAAAGAATGCTTGGCATTGTTTTGCTGAGCACCAGCTCTGGGAGGACTTCCCCAACCCCTAGACCCTTTCTGCTTTGTCTCTAGAAACAATGAATCACTTGTGAGCTGTCAACTCTCATTTAAAGAAAAATTGTTACCTTAGTGCTTTTTCTAAAGATATTTAGTCTTTTTGTTCATCCATTCATCAATATTTAATGAGCATTGATAAGAGAACATAATGAACAACGCAGAGGGTCCCTCACACCAGAAGAGCTCTAATGGGAGAGACAGATCATAAAGACAGTATCATGATCAGTGCTCTGAGGGGAAAGTAGGGGAGAACATGGGAGTCTTGGGTGGGGCACCTCAATTGGACTAGATAGTGCAGGGAAGGCTTCCAGGAGGAGTTATCATGTCAGGTAGGACCTGGAGATTGGAATAGGTGTCTGTCAGATGAAGGGAACATTTGTGGAGTTGCAAGTGTCTCATGTCAGTGGTAAGGGGAGACATGGGGGTCTTGGTGTGAAAATGCTGTTTGAGGGACTGAAGCAGTTGAGCAGAGTGAGGGATGAAGTGGTTAGAAAGGTGCCTGGGCAGGGCCCAAAAGGCACTGGAAAACCAAGGATGTATCCCAAAGGACGGAAGGGTTTTAAGTGGCTGTGGATTAGCACAATGGCTTCTTGTGGAGAGGAGATTGGCAGGAACACTTGGGCTGTGGAGTTGTTCAGGTTTGAGATGGTGGCCTGGTCTGGGGTGGGGACAAAAGGGATGCTAAGAAGTAGGTGGAATTGAGAGACACCCCAGGGGTAGTCTTGACAGGGCTTGGTGACTGAGTGGACTCAGGAAATGAGGAGTGGAAGCTTCTGGTAGGACAGCTAGGGCAGGGGGAACACTTACCTAGGTAAGACAGTCCTGGGTTCCATTTTGGACATGCTGAGGTGGAGACGGTTATACAGATCTGAAGCGCAGGAGGCAGACCTGAGCCATAGATTTGGGTTTGTGGGTCATTCACAAGAGGTTGTGATGAAATCATGAGTCAAACCCTAACATTTTAGGGTGACTGAGTGGCCAGATAAGCAAGGAGGGAAACCAGGAAGGTTTGTTATCACAGAAAACAGGAGGTTCCGAAGTTTGATATGGGAATGGGAAGTAAGCTGGCTGTCCCCCAGCAGGAGAGACTGTAAGATATGCAAATCTGATCAGGAAAGAGAGGGTAGAGAGAGGCTGTAGATACCTTGGCCCTCGAGAAGGTTAGGTGGGAGAGGGTGGGATCAGGGCAAGAGTAGTAGGAGTAGCCCTTGGAAGTGAGCTGGAAGAGTTCTTTACTGATCACTTTTCTCTGAAGAAAGAGATCATAGCCATTTGGGAGTGGTTGAAGAAGGGTCAGGGTCATGGCCTACGAAACAGGATTGTCAGGCATCAGTTGGCCCCATAGTGCAAAGCAAGGAATGAGGTATGGAGAAGGAAGTTGGATTAATCTGTAGTTGGGGTTTTGAAGGTATGTCAATAAGTTGACTGTGATAAGAGAATTTCAGCTGGTTTGGGCAGGAAGAGAGAACAAGAGGGGGCGGTGGGGATGTTCAGGGGCCAAGAGCCTAGGAAAGAAGTTGGTAAAGGTCCAAGGATAGAAGGGCTAGAAAGGTAGTAGCGGTTGTGGTCAGAGCAGAATGAATGTATTACTTCAGAGGAACACTGCCAATGGGTGGCGGAAGTTGTCTGGAGATGGCAGGGAGGTAGAGGCTGGTGCTTCATCCCTATGGCGGGGGTGTTGTCTGGGAAGATCACACAGGACAGGGTCAAGGAGTCTGAGCTAGATGTGTTTTCCGTGATTGAAGGGGAATGATGGAGAGCAGGTGCCAGTGTGGAGAAGATGGTGGCAAATGGCATAAGCCCCAAAGGAAGAGGGTGGTGAATCAGTAGTCTGGAAGAGCAGCAGCTGAGAAGGGGAAACTGACCTCATTTCCCCACCCTGAGTTCCCCGGTGTGGGAGAGGGAGCAACAGAGCTGCAGATCAGGAAGTGCCTTTGAGGGGCCAGGTTTCAGTTAAGAAGTTTGATTTTAGAGAGAATAGAAATTATGGGGGATAAGAAATTGAGGGAAGTCTTAAAACATTGCTAAGAGGTGTGCTAGTACAGGTTCCTATCTTTGAAGACACAGATTCTTACCCTGCTATTGAAGTCCCGAAATCCATTAACATAGTCTTCATTTAACTCGTTTTGTTTTAAATTAGGTTTATTTTGGCATTGAGTTAAACACTGAGATTCAGAAGTAGGTGACAGACCTAGACTACTAGTTAAATTACTCAGATCTGGGTATTTTTAATTCCTCAGTTTCTTAAAAATCTAAGTAAAGTTTTTGTTTGATACAGATGATGTCTACCGTAGAAAAGCCTCAGAAAGACAGTATCAGAGGAGGCTGGAAGATGCATCAGAGACTGAACTTCAGCAGTCAATAAAGTGAATATGAAATTTTACTATTGGTTTCAACTCTTTTAAAAATGTTCTTTTCGGATTTCTTGTTCTTACACAGAACTGCCTCTATAAAGAATTTTTATAGTTTTCCTGTCTCTGCTTGAATACTTCTCAAGTCACTGTGGGACAGCACATGTGGGAAAATTATTTCTTCCTAAAATACATCTACCCGTTGAATCTAGTTCATGAAATATTTCATAAATAATTCAAGGATCAATCAGAATGCTTTTCAGTGTAGTCTGAATTGTTTGTGAAGTCCTTTGTTTTAGGCAACAAATGGTATCCTTACTTTTTTGCAGAATTCAGATTTAATTGTGGACATGGAAATAAGATCTAAGTAAAATTTTTGTTTGATATAGACAAAATCATTGTAACCAGGATGATGATACAGGTTACATTTCTGCCAGCTGTCACTTTGTAAACATTTTGCTAGGGAAATAGGAATTCCTGACTGACAACATATTACTCACATTAAGTGCTCTGGTGAACAGAAATAACCCCTTTCTTTGCCCAGCTCCATGAACACACGAGGGCTGGACCTCCATCAGGACCTGGGGGGGGGGGGGCGACAGGCTTCACACCCTTCTGTGATGAAGATGTTGCTTTCATCCAGCTGCTCAAGATAAAGATGTGCTCCTTTCCTAAGAAAGTGAACCTTCACAGTGTAAAGCAACCAGACTTGAGCTAAATCAGAGGCTCAGTCTGTTAGCAGAGATTTTGCAATTTGACCCAGAATAAGTTGAGGTTAGCTGGTAGAAAAAGCAAAGGCATCTTCCCATACTTGGAAAACCACATCCAACATCATTTCAAACAAAATATCTACATATTAAAGAAAACTAAGTTTCAAAAGTTTCTATTTTTTGTGAAGAAAGAAACAGATGCTTAAGGCTACAGGGTATCTTTAAATTGATCTGTCACTTTAGACACTTCCTAAATATTTCTAGGAATTTTTTTGTAATTTAAGTTAGTCCATGTATATTAGAACCAACTCAGTATAAATGAAGAGTCACTGATTACTCATATCTCATTAAAGCACTACCTACAGCAAGCTCAGAGTCACTGCTCAGAGATGGCTTGAATGTGAAGACCAGTGATGACCAGCAGCACCAGGGAGAGGAAGGTGGTTCTCATGTACACTTGCATCACCTAAAGAATTCCTGGTGAACTGAACTTCAGGGGCATTTTAGTGATTGATGCATAAGAAATTAAAATTGTGGTATGATTCAATTATGTGGCTTTATTGCATGTCCCCCTATTCCTAGTTTTAGAAGCTTAAATAACATTTATACATATAGAGAATATGTAACATACACACCTTTTACAAAGAATAGTTGTAAATGCTAATAAAATCAGTTAACTTCTGTCCGCTGTGGGTTCTTTCCTGGACCCACCCTCCTGCCTCCATCCCAGAGAGAATCACTAGCCCGAAATTTGTGTTAACCTTCCCTGCAGTTAACTTAAAAAAAAAAATATATATATATATATAGGGCCCGCAGAGTGGCGCGTTAGGTTAAGAGCTGGCTTGGGACGCCAGCTCTGAGCAACAGGGACCCTTTTGGATCCCACATGAGGGCCAGTGACGCTGCCCTCTACAGCTAAGATGGTGAACAACAGCTCGACCTGGAGCTGAGCTGCTGTGAGTTGCCAGCGATGGTGTAGGCTGCAGCCCCTGCTGCAGTGGGCTGCCATAAGCTACCGTGTGTAGCCAGCATCCAGCGTGAGCAGCGGGCATCCGGTGTGAGCTGCCAAGAGCCACTGTGAGCGGCCGTCCAGAGGCTGGCGACCGATCTGTCTCACCCGGGAAGAGCACAATGATAATACCAACATGGGCCAGTGAAGCAACGTCCTCCACAACTAGACTGAAGAACAAAAGGACAGCAACTTGTCTGTTCCCCTTCCCCTGATTCCCCAGCGCTGTTCCCCACTCCCAATTCCCCAAAATCTTAAAAAATAAATACACACACACACACACACACATATATTAAAGTGCTGATTTACTGAAGGACAACAAACCTTTGAAGATGAAAGCACAATGTCTAACTTCAAAGCAAGGAAGCTAGCCAAGAAATTGTATTAAATTGAAGAGCACACTAGGTTGGATGCTACAGGGTTAAGAACTAATCTTTTGTTAACCGAAGTGCAAGCTTTTTAACCTTGTCTCAAATTTTTTTAACCTATTATCAAGACAGTGGAACTATTTAAGGGAACTTGAATAATTTAAAGAGCAATGCTCTTAAACCTTGATTACAGAACTGCAGTGCCCCCTAGTGTCAGCTACAAGGCAAAAATTTAATAAACCACAGTACTAGAATGACAAAAACCTCGTTGGTACTTATTTACTGCTAGAAATCTACCTCCACTGTAGTGTTGGGGAAAGAAAGTGGGCTTTGGAGCTTCACTTTCACCTGAACTGATAGGGAAAGTACCTAAATTAGGCACATACTAACGTTCATCTAGCAGTCCTATTTTGGAAGTTTTGCCCAGATCTCTGATAACTTAATTGCATCAGCTTCTCTTTTTGTAAGCTTGATTTTCCACACTGACTTCTCTTTAAAAAAATATACACTTGGACCATGGTGTTTTCCAAAGCAATCTCTCTCCTAGTACAGCAATATCAGTTTTTAGTTTTCACACACATGCATCAAATTTGGAATTTCTTGCCATATTTATGTGCAATCCACATGTGAATACATCTATTTTGGGAACAGAATTAGTCTATTTGTTCAGTTCTGGACTTTCATTCAGTTGACCTAGCACACTTCCAAAAACCAAAAAGGAACGGAATAATACTTAGCAGTATTTGTTTGCTCATAGTGTTCAGCTGTAATGTTTACACGTCAATGATCATTCAAAATATGCTCATGAGCACAGATGGCAGTACAGCCCTAAACTCTTAGGAGAATAGACCCCCAGGGGTTTGCACCAATATTAGAGGAAAACGGTTGACTTGACCACTTTCTGTTAAGTGTGGTCATGTTTTAAGAACTTATATGCATATTAAGACATACCTGGTCCACTTGTCTCTTCTGGTTAGACAGCTATTTGAAATGGGTTACATTGCTTTATGTTCTAGATTCTAGAACATGCTTTCCTTACCTTCTGCCATCAGTAACTCTTCAATTTTAACTGCACCCTGCATTTCTGCCCATGCTGAGAACATGTTAGGATTTTTTTAAAGAGCCAGCCAGCCTGCGAGGCTTGGTCGGGGGCACGTCAGGTTGCAGTGTGACTACATTCGGTCTCTGTTAATGCAGCCTGAGCCCTGAACCAGTGTCTGGGCACTGACTTTGGCCTCCACCTGAGGAGCTCTCTTCCCTTGAACTGGCAGCTATATCCCTATCAGCATAAAATTATGGTTTGCAGGAATTAAACCCGCTTGAAACATGACACAAGCTTTAACAGAACAACCAAACCTAGTTAATCCAAATCATTTTGCAAACTCCATTTTTATTTGGATTAAAAAGCTTTAGATGAACAAACATATGATACATACATGTTATAAGACTAGTTACCACTTAAACCTCTTTTGATACAGAAATTAGAATAAACCAAGTTTTAATCAGGTCTGAAAATGTTCAAGCTCAAGTCAACAACAACAATTTAGAGATTTTACACAAAGAAGCGTCCCCTCTCAATTCTTCCTCACAGGAAGAGGAAGGGTTAAAAAAAAACAAACAAAGCAATTCAAGGCCTTTTAAATCAGTTGGCTGATGTACTATTTTAAACCTATAGGTTTTTTCCTCCACACAAAATTCTTTTCCACATGAACTTACATTTTGAAAAAATTTAGGCCATTATACTTTCTAAGCCACATCACTACAGTTCCTAAAACTCATGAAAAAAAGATGTATAGTTAACTTGTACTTTCTTAAGTCAGGACTTTTTTTTTTTTTAGAAGGAGGCTGACCTCAAATCTTAAATCCTAAATATTAACTGATATTTTCTAAGTTAATATACAGAAAGACATGATTCTAAAATAAATATGTATATTTTAAAAAAACTTAATTAGGGCCTGCCTAGTGGCCCCCTGGCCCGGCTCTGCACTGCCTTAGGGAAGCCCCTGGCTGACTCTATGGTTCCTACAGCACCTCTAGACACTGGGAAGGAGCCGGGAGGAGGAGTGCTCTGGCTTCTAATGCCCCACATAGCCCACAGTGAAGAGTTTTTAGAGGCTTCCCAAGAAGTCTCACCCAGACCTTAAAAAGGGAAATAAAATGGTGCATGAAATAAATAAATAACTTAACCAACATTAAATTTCAGGTTCTTTGGTGTAATTCAAGGCTGTCTAGAAATAAAATAATCTGATTGTATTATACAGTCCATGATGATTCAATGGCCCAAATAACCAGGAACTGAAGATTTCTTTATCTGATTCAATTTACCAATAAGGTACTGACATACTACTGCAATACATTTTTTAAAATTCAGAATTATTTAAAATACTTGATGCAAACTGAGATCCAGTGGTTGACTATAAGCAATTAAGTTACAAGGGCCTCCTGTATTTATAGTATCTAGATACAAGAGACTTTTTTTCCCATTCTATACCCTTTTGTCCCCATGATTTAGTAAGAATAGTAATTAAATATCCAGGTATTAATTCATACCAGATTAAAAGAAAAAAAGAATCCTCTGAGAGTCAGTCTTTCAACTTACAAACAGCAGTGGAAGGTCCACCCCAATGGCAACCATGTTGTTACTATAAAGCAGGTTTCCAAAATGCCCAGTGAAATACTGCTCCATATCCGATGCTTTATACCTGTCTGAGCATCACATACTGTCTCCAATGTTTATTCTGGGGTTGTATAAAACCCAAGTGTTTGGGATCTGTGATGGTATTTTTTGTGAGCATTTTCATAAATTATGATTCCTTTCTCCTGAAATTCAAAAGCACAAGCTAAATTTAAAAAATACTTTAGAAAGTCTTAAATTTCTGATGGAGAATTACATGACTGAAACTTAGAAGAAAAAATACCACATCTGATGAGGAAACAAAGAATACTAAAACCTATTTGCATATACAGGTGATCTCCACTTTTACAATTCTTCTTCTGATGCAGCTCATATCTGGTTATGCAGTCCCCTCCCTGTGTTAGGTTAGATGTTATGTTTAAAAATAAATCACCTCCATGCACACCTCAATGCTTTCTACAAGGTGAATTTCAATGTACGAGATATAAAATTTTAAATCATCTACATGTATAGGCGTAAATTGTGAAATCATTATAAACAGATCAAAAGTACCCTTAAACTTACCTGCCAAGACTAAATATAATTCAGGGTTGTGCACACATTCTGCAAAAATAACTGACATCATAGATGTGTAACTCAGCACAAGAAAAAGTGCTCTCTCCTTCCAGGTGTCTGGGAAATACACTAGCTGCAGAGGGATGCACAGCACTGACTTCAGATTTCTGCAGTGAGCCTCTGAGTTAACAGAGCAAATGTGCCATGTCTGTCAAACACATATAACCTAAATAACAACCTTTCACTTCACCTGTAAGAAACAGTTTTTTGAAAGTGGCTTAATATATTCAGGCACATGAAACAGACACAAGACACTCCCCTCTGTAAGATGTAAACTAGAACCAACTTCACATTTCATTGTCAACTTAAACTAATCTGTAAACTCGTGTGTGTGTGTGTGTGTGTGTGTGTGTGTGTGTATTTTTCATTGTTTGTTCTTTTATTAAAAAAAAAAAAATCTCCAAAAAAACAAAAATCCCAAGCCAAGACAAAACCTTTGATGGTTTCAGTGTCATGGCAACAAAAAGATAAAACTCCAAGTCTACATATACAACCAATTATGAAACTGGTTTTAAACGTAGGAGACATATGCAAAAAGATCTTTTGTGTATTTGATAGTCAACTTAATATAACAAAAACAAATTGAAATAGCTTATTAAAAGTGTCCTTATATAAAAATGGCCTTGTGATGTACATACAGTAAAATGCAATAAAAATTATCATCCTTGTTCCTCCTCCCACCCCCAGCAACTAAAATGGCTACTATTCCACAGAACTCTTTATGCTTCAATAAAAGAAACATAATCGAAGTGATTAAAGATTTTCTAGATTGTATGCTTGGCGAATGTTGAGGGTGTCTCGGAGCATCAAATCCCGAAGGCGCCAGAGGGCATCTGCCATGGTGGTGTGGGCCCCTTTGCTTTTCAGCCAGTGAGAGGGTAGGCGGCTCTCCTGTTCTTTTGACAAATGGACATCGCGTCTTCGAGCTGAAAATGAAAGTGCAGACAGAAATATAAATAGAAATTTTAA